TCCTTTAGAACTAATGTGTCATGCATTTGTATTGGTATAAATGTTACTAAACTTGTCTTACCCATTCCCACATTGTTGAAATCACCCGATAAATATATTCAAAAAAAATTCCCTTACCAGTGTGGTATGGTAAGATGCTGCTGTGTCAACCACCTATTTTGACTCTGAACCTTCCAAGTGCATGTATTCCTCTTCCTCATTTATGAAGAGAACAACATTATCATTGTTTAACACCATGGTAGTTGTGTTGTTGTCATTCTTCTGGCTACTGCTTTCACCTTTGCCCTTCCTTAGATTTGGGTAGTTTCTTTTTATGTGACCTGGTTGATCGCAATTGTAGAAATTTCTAGCTTTTCATTTGGATCGGTTATTGGACTTCCAACAACCTCCGGATCTACTATAGTTGCTCGAACTCCTTTGGTAACTCTTGCCTCTACCTTCTGTGATGAGAGGCTGTCCTTGATTTTCAGGCTTCTTTCTCATTTTCTTATTGAGTATAAGAGTTGATGTGACATCTTTTAACTCAATGGTGGTGTTTCCGTGCAAGATATTTGTTGCCAAATTATCATACGAAGATGGTAACGAGTTCAAAAGCAAGATGCATTTATCTTCTTCCTCGTTCTTTATTCCGATATTGGCAAGCAGTATGATTAGTGCGTTAAACACATTCAAGTGTGATAAGAAGTATGAACCTTCACCCATTTGTAGGGTGTATAACAGCTTCTTCAGGTACAATTTATTTGCCAACATTTTGGACATGTATAGGCTTTCCAACCTTGTCCAAATACCACATGTAGTGTCTTCATCAATGATTTTATTTACCACATCATGTGATAAGTGCAACCTGATTGCACTAGCAGTCTTTCATCCAAGTCAGCCCATTTCTTAGCTTTCTTGGTATCAGGCTTGTTGGCATTAGCATCTAGTACCTCGTATAATCCCTGTAGGATGAGAAGATCCCTCATCCTTCTTTGCTATGTTGAGAAACTTCTATCTCCATTGAATTTTGCTACCTCGTACTTACTTTGGATATTTTTTTTCCTGAGTATAGTAACACCGACGTGAATAATGTTTCTATGTACGAGAAGAACCTGTGCTCCGATACCAGTAGTTGGAAATAAACACCCTACAGAAAGTAATATTCACGATAATAGATGAGAAATAATAATGTAACACCGAGATACGATAATAACAAGAATAAAAGAGCGACAATGGCACCAAGATTTTTATGTAGAAAACCCTTCTAAATAAGGGAAAAGACCACGACCTCGAGAGGAGCAACCGATATCACTATCAGAAGGAATTTTACACTTTTTAGGCCCGAGTAAAATACTCCAAAGACCATTTGAACACTTAGAAGAAATAACCCTTTTTTGATACTACCACATAACTACAATATCGCTCACACTCCCCAGTTTCTTCGTAGACTATTTTCTTATACGTTGTCTGTCACATCCCAAACTACCCCCTAGATGTGACTGGCACCCATCTAATACCACATGCCAGGTGAACCCATTTCTAATATATTTAACTATTTATACAAACACTGAGAGAACAATTAAAAACAAAATAGTTACCAACCAATACCTTAGTCAATTGATAGAAGGACCAACAGTCACTACAATAATAATACCCTAACTCAAATCCCACACTAAGACCATGGAGCATCTAACAAAGTGACATAAATTTAATTGACGGGTAGGCAAACCCCCAAAGAGAAGTAAATAACTAACACAAACTAGATAAAGCTGCAGTGACATCCTCCACAAATAATGCGGTGGCTCACCTCAGCAACAGAATCGGCCTGAACGAACTCTTTTGCCACTAGCTCTATCGTCCGCAATAGTATCTGCATTGAGATGCAGGTAAGGAGGGAGTTATACATAAATATAACTAGTATGATCCTCAACCCGCCACTTTAAATACTTTTGGAACAAGTGTTAGAATATTCACACACCACAACAAGAATGATATAATAAATACGATGATTATACAATAACTCAATATTTATGTATCACCAGAGTTAATAAGAATTAACCAAAAAGAGTACACACTAAGGACTTGTCATAATTACAACGAAAGAAATTAGCCAACACATCTACGAGTCCACAACGACACCACAATGCCTCAAATATGTAACGTAGCATACACAATGCTCACTGAAGTATATATACCCCAAATATATCAAGAAACATACACAATGCTTGGGTGATGTACAAAGGCATACACAATGACCCCAACATCATGTCTCACAGCCGTATCAAACTATCAAACTCAACACCATGACTCACAGCCGTATCAAACTATCAAATTCAACATCATGGCTCACGGTCGTATCACGCCATCAAACAACTTATAAAATAATTTTTTTGTTTTCTTTATATTTCATAAAAATAATCTATTTGCGGCTATTCTAAGACCACTGATTCTGTCAAGCACACGCTTGTTCCAACACACAGACCGGGCAAAAAATATAGTTTGAAAACGAATTTCAGAAAAGTAAGCATCAAAGCTTAAAGTCTCACTTACCTTGCTAACGGGAAGTTCCCCGGCCTTGCAACGTTTAGAACACCCACCAAACGGCCTCTAAAGGACTCAATCTATCCAAAATATTGAATAACATATTCTAACTAGTCTAGGTGAAAATTTTCATAATCTTAAACAAATCAAACTCAAGGTCAACCCTCGGTCCGATTAATAATAACTAGTACACAGTTACATGTCAACCAAATAGCCGAAACAATGCCACTGTTGTATAGGGTAAAATATAATATGACACGTGGTCATCTAAAGGAAGGACACGTGGAACCCATGACGAGGATAGCTGAAGGCCGAATGCAGATATTTCACTTGTCACCCGAAGGAATAACATTCATAGAAAGATGTTAAATGCCTTGCGCCCGATAGCATTTAATAAGGAATATTCTGCAACATTAAGAGCAGTAACGGCCCGTTACAAAAAATTTGGCATTTATGTCCACCGTTAGATCTTCATCAATGGCCCTTGTAACTGACATTAAAGGAGGGCACGATCCTAGGACCTCCTTCCCTAGACACAACTATAAATAGTGAGCTTAGCTATCATTGTAAAGGACACGAATTCTCTAGCTAACTTACACTACATTCTATAAAGAACTTATATACAATTTTACTTCGCCTTTTGATCTCATCATTATTTTGCCTGGAAACCTTGTTCCCGGATTCGTCAACTCTTCTATTTAATCTACATTTAAAGGCTAAGTATTATATATTTATTCAGATATTTCTTTATTTTAGGGCCAAATTAGTTCACTTGTCTAGAAATTACGAACAAATTCAACTGTACCATTTTACGCGTAAATAGTTTGGCGCCCACCGTGGGGTCTAGACAGCCGTGCAATTAAATTGATACTTGCCTTTTTTGCTAACGTACATTGATTGTTTTGTCTTAAAGAAGATCACAAAATGGCAGATAACACTATTAATAGCACGTACAATCCTGAAGTTTGAGGGGACCAACCTCATTTTGAGGATTTAATCAGTGACACCCACAACGAGGGGAATGGCACCACGCCAGTGCATGACAGGCAATATCCTCGACATGTTCGGGAGATAACTCCTGATGATGCTAATAAGGAGCATGTCGTTGATGCGATGCGGGTCTTACAAGAACAACAAGCGATCATTCTAGGCCATCTCATGTGGCAGGATAAGGTTATGACGGAGCTGAAGCAGGCGCTGTCGGGGGCTTCGAATAATGCAAACAGGCGAGATCCAATTCCTCCCGATCTCCCCGCAAACCAAACAACACAGAGAGTCGACTACAACACTCCCAGTGGTGAAGTCAGCTCCGACGAGGCTGGGGGAAGCGGATCTGGTCTCAAAAACAAGAATGACCCATTCAAGAATGATTTTATGGTTTATGAGGGAGGTAGACGCCCGCATGGACCAAATCCCAAGCGCACCACCAGTACTGAAGGGCCTGGATTCGAAAAAAGTATACTTACTTTCCGTACAAGCTGAGTGCAGCACCAGAGTTAATCCTAATGCAGTTCAAAATACCTGAAGTGCCAAAGTATGGCGGTACTTCAGACCCACACGAGCATATTACCACCTACACAACAACGTAAAAGGAAATGATCTAGCGCTTCACGAAATTGAATCTGTGTTTCTAAAGAAATTTTGAGAGACTCACGAGGGGAGCCCTAACGTGGTATTCATTGTTATCCCGAGCATTCCATAGACTCCTTTGAGATTTTCGTGGATTCTTTCATCAAGGCTCATGCCGGTGCCAGAAAAGTATAAGCCCGAAAGGCCGATATATTACAAGAGTTCGTTACCCGATTCTAGAAGGAAAAAATGTTATTGCCGACTGTCCCGGATGAATGGGCGGCTGAAGCGTTCACCAAAGGATTGAATCCGAGAAGTTCAGACGCTTCCCGGAAGCTGAAGGAAAGTCTGCTCAAGTTTCAAGCAACGACTTGGGCACATGTCCACAACCAGTATGAGTCAAAGATAAGAATCTATGATGATCAAGTTGGCTTTCCATCATCGGCCAAAGGACGAGAGAAGAATAATGAAAAAGATGACTACGACGCAGACAGGCGAACCTCGAGGGGCCAATTTTGGCCATACGAACGAATCGAAGGTCGCGTCAAAGGCTTCCAGATAGCAGACAAGTTCGTTGTTGACAGAAGGAACGATCGTGGCCAGAACAACAGATCGCTGCAGGATAAAGAAACTTCGGGGTCGCGGGATCCTTCTTACCCCAAGTTATCGGAATATCACTTCAACGTCAGTATAATGGAGTTGGTATCCGCCATGAGAAACATCAAAGAATCACAATTCCCGAGATCTATGAGATCTGATTCCAGCCAGAGGGATCCCAACTTATGGTGTGAATACCATGGGATGAACGGCCACCGAACAGGGGATTGCCGACACATCCGAGAAGAAGTGGCAACACTATTGAAGAATGGTCACCTTAGAGAATTCATTGAGTGACTAAGCTAAGAACAATTATGGTCGGAACAGAGACAACGCGGAACCCACGAAAGCAGGAGAAAAACCCCCCACGCCAAATGATCAATATGATCTTCGGATGGAATGGGATTACTGGGTTCACCTTTTCGGTAGCAAAGAAGGCGAAAGTATCAATAACTCATAGTAAAAGGCTCTAGGAAGACGATATCACCTTTACCGAGAAAGATGCAGACGGATTGCTGCTACCACAGAACGATGCACTGGAAATTTCTTTAAATGTATTAGATTTTAAGATTAAAAGTGTACTAGTGGGTCCAGGAAGTTCAACTAATATCATACAATGGAGAAACCTGGAGCAAGCTAAACTCATCGGAAGCATTATTCCGGCAACAAAGCTTATCACTGGATTCAACCTCGCGAGCGTGACAAACCGGGGAGAGATCTTGTTGCTCACGAACGCTGAAGAAGTAACTAAAACAACTTTGTTCGAAGTTGTAGACACAGACATAGGATACAATATCATCCTGGGAAGGCCATGGTTACACGAGATAAAAGTTGTGCCTTCAACGTATCACCAATTGTTGAAATTTCTGACACCCGAGGGGATCAAGCAGATAAGGGGTGATCAATCGACAACAAGGGAGATGAATGCAATTTTGGTCTCTAGTAGCAAAGGAAAGGAGCGCGCAACATAGTAATTACAGGAACCGACACCTACCCTCGAACCGGAAGAAGTTAACGCGGGGATAGAGGAATCGGAAAAATATCAGGTGCCAAGGTATTTCCAAGTTCCAGAAGAGACGGACGCAACGAAGTCCATGGCCGAAGAACTAGAGCAAGTTGTGTTGTTTGAAGAATTCCTAGAAAGGAAATTCCATTTGGGAACAAGACTTCCCGGATCTCAAGTCTAAATTTATTGAATTTCTTAAAATTAACGCCGATTGTTTTGCATGGTCGCACGAGGATATGACGGGTATCCCGACGTAGGTAGCCGTGCACAAGTTAAGCTTGGATCCCAACATACCTCCGGTAAGACAAAAGAAGCGCCCTATTGCTGAAGTCAGGAATAAATTCGTCAATGTAGAGGTAACATGCTTACTCAATATCGGTTTAATCCGAGAGGTAAGATATCCGGACTGGCTAGCTAATATAGTAGTAGTTCCTATGAAAAATAATAAATTTTGCATGTGCGTAGAATACAAGGATCTTAATAAGGCGTGCTCGAAAGACTCATTCCCATTGCCAAATATCGATCAAATGATTGATGCCATGGCGGGGCACGAGTTAATGAGTTTCCTCGATGCTTATTCGAGGTAGAATAAAATTACGATGAACCTAGAAGATCAGGAAAAGACTTCGTTTTTAATGAATTTCGGTACATATTGTTACAATGTGATGCCCTTCGGGTTGAAAAACACCGGATCCACTTATCAACGACTCATGAATAAGATGTTCGAAAAGCAAATAGGAAAGACTATGGAAGTAATATAGACGATATGCTCGTTAATTCATTGAATGCATATGACCACCTTAAGCATTTGCAAGAAACATTCGACATCCTAAGGAAGCATAACATGAAACTTAACCCTGAGAAGTGCGCGTTCGGGGTCAGTTCAGGTAAGTTTCTGGGATTCCTAGTTTCACAAAGAGGAATTGAGGTAAACCCCGACAAAATCAAGGCCATAGAGGATATCCCGGATTAATTGTCAAATGTAAAAGAAGTCCAGAGGCTCACAGGGAGATTAGCAACTTTGAGCAGGTTCATTTCTCGATCATCGAAAAAATGTCCTCTCTTCTTCGCACCTCAAAAAGAAAATAATTTCGAATGGACATCCTAGTGTCAGCAAGCCTTGAAGGACATGAAGAAGTACTTATTAAGCTCTCCGTTGCTCTCAAAACCAAAAGAAGGTGAAATATTGCTAGTCTACCTCGCGGTTTCAGAAGTTGCGGTAAGTGCGGTTTTAGTTCGAGAAGACCGTATGCAATTTCCCATTTATTACGTCAGCAAAATTTTAGAGGGAGCAAAAACTTGCTACCCACATTAGGCAAAACTGGCCTTAGCTCTTGTAGTTGCCGCTCGGAAGCTGAGGCCTTACTTCCAATGCCACTCGATAGTTGTGGTCTACTTTCTCTTTGTGGAACATCCTCCATAAACCCGAGCTCTTAGGGAGGTTGGCCAAATGGGCCATCAAAATGAGCAAGTTCAACATAGAATATAAACCGAGGACTACAATTAATTTGCAAGTCTTGGTTGACTTCGTGGCTGATTTCAGTCCCGGACTATTGCCTCTGGCAACCAAGGAGACATTAATGGTGTCAGAATCGACATCGGGGATTTGGACTTTATTTACGAACGGAGCTTCCAACGTAAAAGGGTCCGGACTCAGAATAGTCTTAATCAGTCCTTCGGGGGAAACCTTAAGGCAAGCCATCAGAACGATCCCTTTAACTGACAATGAAGCAGAGTACGAAGCTTTGATTGCAGGGCTCGAATTGGACCGGGGACTTGACTCCGAGGTCATCGAAATCAAATGTGACTCACAGTTGGTGGTAAATCAGGTCTACGAAATCTTTGACACCAAAGAGGAACGTATGCAACAATACGTGATAAAGGTCCAAGCTCTGTTGGCGCGATTCCGGGAGTGGTCAATTACTCATATCTTGAGGGACAATAATAAAGAAGCAGATGCATTGGCAAACTTGGGCTCATCGACAGAAATCAAGGTGAATTCGACTAGTTTGGTCTGGGACTGGCGAAATGAAATAATCGACTATCTCGAGCATGGGAAGTTGCCCGAAGACCCCTAAAGCATCTCGAGCGCTACGTGCCAAAGCTGCACGTTATAGCTTCAAGAAAGGCCAATTGTATAGAAAATCCTTCCAAGGCTCGTTGGCCCGATGCTTAGGAGCGTCAGAAGCTAATTATATCATGAGAGAGGTCTATGAAGAGATATGAGGCAACTACTCGGGCGCAGATTCTTTGGTGCAAAAAAAAAAGAGGCAACTACATCATCTAGCAAAACCCTTACATTCGATTCTGTCCCCGTGGCCATTCATGAAATGGGGGATGGACATCGTCGGATCGCTGCCACCGGCTCCTGAAAGGCAAGGTTTCTTTTAATGCTGACTGACTATTTTTCTAAATGGGTGGAAGTAGGTACTTATCAAAAGATCGGAGAACGCGAAGTGGTCGACTTCCTGTGGGAAAATATAATTTGCAGGTTCGGAATACCAAAAGAGATAGCATGCGACAATGTGCCGCAGTTTATCGATGGAAAAATTACAAAGTTCCTTGAAGATTTGAAGATAAAGAGGATCACCTCTTCACCTTATCATCTGAGTGCAAACGGTCAAGCCGTGTTAACAAAGAAAGTGATTATTGAAAACCTCAAGAAAAGGTTGGAAGCGGTAAAAGGCAATTGGCCCGAAGAATTACCTAGAGTTCTGTGGGCTTACTGAACAACGGCCAAGTCGAGCACAGGAGAAACTCCTTTTTCTCTTGTGTATGGTGCAGAAGCTCTAATATCGGTGGAAGTAGGAGAACCTACTTTGAGATACTTCTAGGCAAATGAAGAATCGAACAACTAAGTAATGTTAATCAACTTGGAGCTACTTACGGATCACATGGACTTGGCGCGTGTAAGAATGGCAGCTCAAAAGCAGAGAATGAGCAGTATTATAATTGGAGAGCCAGTTTCCGTTATTTCAAAGTAGGAGATTTAGTTCTGAGGGACGTAACCCAAAATACCCTAGAGCTCAACGCGAGGAAGCTGGGTCCAACGTGGGAAGGTCCCTACCAAATTTCAGCTATCACTGGGAAAGGTTCATACGAGCTGGAGAACCAAAATGGAGACAAGTTGCCTAGCAATTGGAACGAGGCGCACATCAAAAGATATTATTGCTGATGAACAATATCCAATCTAAAAGTAAGTGCTGCACTCTTTTTCCCTTCGTTCAGTTTTTGTCCCAATTGGGTTTTTCTGGCAAGGTTTTTAACGAGGCAGCGATAGAAAGCATACTACGAAGTCAGCAACAATAAGACCTTTAATAGCAAGGCAAACAAGCAAGCTTCCACTTGGGGGTGTTTAGATAAGCTTTGGATCGATAGCAAATTCCCACTGGGAAGTTAATTTCTCTACCGAACAAAGGTTACCCGACAGTTCACGAGCATAAACCACTAGAGGATTGTTAGATAATCTTTCGCTCGATAGCATATATTCCTAAGGGAAAGTAAGGTGTGTTACTGAGTTAAGGATTATCTAGCAATATCATTGGTGGAATCTTTGAAGGCACAAGACTTCCAGTGTTCCAATTCGCATTCTTCGCATTCGAACGCTGGGGGGAATGATATGAGGATACGACATCATTAACTACCACATCGACTGGGAACGAAAATCCGAAAACAAAATGCAATATCGGGATCGGGGACTGCTCAGCCAGCCCCGTAGAAACAAATTGTACAAGATAGCCACAAGTAATGGCAATTTGTTTTTAGTATAACAAATGCTTTTGTACTTTTGAAAACAGAAGGATTTAAATGAGAAGTGTCCGCATCCCCGGGAGAAGTACGTGGACCCGTCGATGGCTCGACATTTTCCGCAGTTTGGTCTTCAACATCGTTGCCTTCCTCCTCTTCAGTTCCTAAAAACTCGAAACCGTAACCAGAAGAACCAAGAGCATCAAACTGCACCGGGAGTCCATTTTTAGCAGGCAACTCAAGCTCTTGGGCCTTAGCAATTTCGGCATCGAAATCAATGATAGCAGCTTTGCCCTCTTCCAAGGTTTTTCTCCTCATGCTATACATAGCGTAAGTTTTATTAACAATGAGGGAAGTCGATCGGTGCTTAAGTTCCTCTTTGAGTTTGAGCTATCTCGGCAGAAAGCCTTTCCCTGGCGGACCTAATAGATCTAAGGCTAACGTCAAGGTCGCAGACAGTTGAACTATAGAGCCTATTATGCTTGATAGTTTTCTTGTACTTCTCTTCCAACTGGGCATGTTTCGACCACGCAGCAGCAAGCTCTTCGATTTTGGAGTTCAAGGCTGCTTCTAAGTCAGTCATTATTTCAGTAGTGGCAGCCTCGCGCTCGGTTGCAGCAAGAACGACGTCATGGACTTCAGCCCATATGGCCTTGGCTTCATCAAATCTAACCCTCAGCGGACCTCTTGCTCGCTTTGCTGCAAATGAGCCTCTAAATGCAACAGCCTCAGCAGCTTTGGCTTCCAATTCCGAGAGCCAAACGATATTTTGCTCCCGCTCTGCCAAAAGTTGATCTCGAGCGGAAGTAAGTTTTTCCTTATCAAGAATCAACCTCTGAAGGCCCTCTGAAGCAAGAAACTTGGCCTACAAAACAAGAAAGATGAAATTCATAATACGTCCATATAAAATAGAGGAAATAACAAAGGAAGAAAGGAGCGTACCGCTGCAGCATTGTGCATGGCATTATTCAATAGGTACTCTCCCGAGAGTGCCCTAACATTTTCCCAATATTTCTCTGAAGCCAAAGGCTTTAGATAATTAGCTAGCTCCAGCGGCCGGAAAAGTAGGTTGCACCCGGTAGAGACCGAAAGGGTAACAATCCTCCTCAGATGGGGATCTTCAGAATGAGCAGCATAATTTTACCCCAAATTCCCATGAACTGGGGAATGGGGAGGAGGAACATCTCCTTCGTAACCAGATGCGGCCAGTGGAGATAA